TCGCTGTGAATGCAGTTTCTTTCCTTTGCCCCGTATCACCAAGTTTTTGGACAGTTATGCTCAATCCTTTCAATGTTTTACTGTGGACATTTTCTTAGCACTTGATCCGGTTCCTGCTTTTGTCTTGAAAATAAAATTCGGATTGTTTCAATGCTCAAAAACAATTATTGATTTGGTTACAGTGTGGAATGATTGATTTTAGCTCGAGATGCGTATTTTGGTGGGTGTTCTCCGAGAGCTGTTGTTCGCAGACGTTTCGTAGCCAGGCTAGGCAACTGTAATGCAAACGTACACTCCGGGCTCTGGCAGCGCAGCGCAGCTGAGTGAGTGACTGATGCGCACGCAACAGGATATCCCTTGGTTCGTATTCTCGCGGCGGGAGACGAGACGAGGCTTTGCGGACGACGAACGACGGCGGGGAACGGCAGTAGGTAGACGGGTCACGGGTTGACGAGGAAGCCCTGGTCTTCCGTGGGTCGGGGTTGAAGGTAAACCTGCAAGGAAAGACAAACGAAAAAACGCCATGAACCAAAAAGGCCCAGTGATATACAACCACCCACGTTAAACTAGTACTGGGGCAGTTGCAAGCTTTACACAACGTCGTCAGTGAACCTTCGGAGAAGCCCGCGCATAGAGTTGCACTATGATTATTTCCACCCTCAGCTGCGCCCAAAAATGTGTATGGAATTATGCTGATGAATTTACATTACGCCAATCTATCCCACCAACCCACTGCATTATACTTACTGTCAGTCCGACCCACATTCGGTTTCCCCGGTTCCAATGGAAGCACAATCAAGTCAAGAAAAGCTTTATGCACCCAAAGGGTGAATTTTCAGCGGTTTACGAGTTTTACAGTGGATAGGTAAAATAATTGCCAACCAAAAAATACATTATAAGAAATTCTGCACTCTAGTAATTGAGAGAAAAAATTAGGGCAAGAGTGTTTCTTTGAGGTGGGTGAGGATATTCTGACGATTTACTAGTAAATGAGCTAGGTATGGAATTACACTGTTTCGATATGTGGAAATCCGCGCAGGAAGGAGTTGATATTTGGAGCGTGTCCGGGGAATTGACAGGGCTTTCGCGATATATTGGTGCGGACAGTGCCCTTGATCACGTGTCATTCTGTCAATGAATGTATCAAAAACGTCAAGATGCTTGGAAATAAATAAATCAACTCAAACAGCCTTATCAACTCCACTGTAGCGGGAAAAAAGTTTAAGGGATCTTGAGAATAAAGAGAAGTCTTTTTCTTTCAGTCCGGGGATAAAAATCGGGGAGCAGTATAGCCAGTGTGGAAGAATGTAGGCAATCACAAATTTAATAATAAGATTATGCAGTACGGCCAGTTTCCTGAGCCTGTAAGCATAGAAGGACAGTTTTCGAACTTTTTTGAAAACATTGATGACATGAACAGACCAGGACAGGTGATGGGTAAGGGTGACACCAAGGTATGTCACAGATGCAGATTTGGGAATGCTTTGATTGTTAACTCTACGATCAGGGAGATTTTTAACTTATGAAAAATAACGAGGACAAGTTCTAAGATTAAATGGAACTTCGATGTACTGACTGACGTTAAGTTTAAGAGATCGGGTCACAGACCAATCGTGAAGTTCATTAAGACTGTCCTGGAGAGGTCGAAAACTGTCTGAAATAGGGGCTGGGCAACCAATCACAATATCATCAGCATACTTACAAGCAATAAAGTTGGTGGGAATGGGCAGATTTTGTATATACATAGAAAACAAGAAAGAGGACAAAATGGCACCCTGAGAAACACCGGCTTCAATGTTAATAGAAGAAGATTGTACACCACTGCAAAAAACGTAAATATTTGTCCAATTTCGAAATCTCGGCCGAAATTCAAAGGCCCCGCCAAATTCGACAATGTGTTGAATGTTTGTGCAATTCTTTCCACAATCTTTCTTTTCACTGGGGATGGAGCGAAGGGTTAGTAATCTGAAGCTAAGCCGTCGTGTGTCTGGCAGTTTATCAGGAGGTTAACTTGCCAGCTCATCGAATTCAAATTAGTCGACTTCGCTGGATATGGCACGTATTGTGTATTGCTACAATCAGTCATTTCATGTATTGCGTATGTCCTGACCTCGTAGCCGCTCCGGGCTGGAGGAAACCACTTGGAGGTCAACGGATGACGTGGAAACGGGGCATAAAGAAAGCACAGAGCTGTTATGTAGAGTAGGTGTCTTGCACCTTCCGGGTTAGGGTCCGAAAGACTCAGAAACCGGTTGGTTGGAGACATTGAAGGATATGGCTACGAACCGACAGCAGTGGCCAGAATGCTTGAAACGGCATGTATGCACAGTTCGATTCTGCACTCTATGTGCTGACCGTAAAGGTTCGCCTTGTTACCCCTGCCTCAAAGTAGGTCTAATCTCTGTCCACCTTAAATGTTACCACTAACCTTATATGCCTTGTGAGTTAGGCATCGATCAGTGAATTTCGCTTTGCTCTATTTCGCTGTATGACGACGACTACGGATAACAATCCTCGATCTTTACCTTATATCTGCAACTCTAGTATTTACCAATATTGATATATAGCATTTAAAATTGAAAACATCATTAGATCTCTTGCCCCCTGTACTCCATTACTGCGATCAGATATGGTATGTTAATGTTTTTACAAACTCTGTTACTCCCCAATTATTGGCCCGGGGGAGAGGGGCTTTTTTTAAATCTGACCCCGCATTGCATCGAATCCCCTTCGGCAAATGTAATTGCAAAATGTTTTACTCATTCCGTAGGTTGGCTTAGCAGAAATCGATATTTTTTAATCAGTCTCTTTCAAACTCCAACCGCGTTTTGTGCACAGAATCCGCTTATCGTTTATCTTTT